CACAGACAAGTTTAAACAACCTTGATGATTTAGGAAGAGACAGGATAGATGCAGTCAAAACCCTTGAAGTCCAGTAAAAGGGAATCTCACTCCTCTAACGCTCTGTAATTCCTCTTTCATCTATACTGCAGATCATGTGGCAGGAGATCTGCCACTTCTTTCTCTTCTAAAGCTTCATCTTATCCTGACCATCACACAGACTATGCACCAACAAAGCAAACTCACCCTGAAAGAGCAGGTAATATTCTGCAGGAGTCTGGATGAAAAGTGTTTCCTCTGGGTGAAGGAAACCCCATCTGAATGAACAAACACTGTGTATGTCTGTATGCATTATGTACGTACAGTGCTTGTACCGTGACTGTTACTTTTTAATTTTCTTAGCTGCATTTAGGAAAATCAGTTTTGCTCTCTTTCTTCAAAATGTCTTAATCATATTTGTAGCATTTATAAAAATCTCTCTTCTTAAATTTTGTAAGACCTGAGGTATGTAGTAAATTTCTAGTAAGAAGCTTCTCCTTCTTTCCAACCTAACGGGAGATCGGACTGCATTAGATTATATAAAATTTAAATGCATTAGCTGTTAGCCAAAACTGAATTTTCATACAAATTAATATTGTTATTGTATTTTAATAAAGCAATAGCATTTACGGAATTATGTAGACATCAATCACTTGGGGGTGTCTTGGAACAATTACTGACTTCATGCATCATCTGCTTCCTCACTTCAAAATTTGTTGCACTTTTCATAAGTATCATATATCAGCGACTGATACAACACATTTCAAATGCCTTCTAGCCCATCACAGACACTTGTTAGAAAAAGCCCTTAAGCTGACGCCGTCCTAATATGTGACTATGTAATTAAAATTTTGACATATGCAAAGAATTGCAAAATAGATAAAAGAGTATGTATGGTAAATAGAAGTTTAAAGGCACTGAGCAGATGGTTTGTTTGTGAAAGAGGTATGGAGGGTGCCAAGAAATGACAAACAGATGGCTTAGGTGTGAAGGACAGGAAGGGAAATTTGGACGAGTCGAGGACATAATGGACAGCTCTCAGGATTTTTGCACGCACTAACTGAATCACGGGCACTGAATAGAAGGTTAAACACTTCACATTTTTGTATTTGCATTTATATAAACGTGTCAGTGGAAAATGTCCAGCAATAAAGGCTGATAATAATAATAAAGACAAGTCATGCTTCACAGGCTTTGGAGACGATACAAATTCTGTTCAAACAGCAGATATCATTTGAGTTATAACCCAGGCACTTCTACACCAAGTCATATGTGTTCACTACATGGTCTGAATTCAAACTGATATATTCAGAATTGTAGCAAACCCATATTGCCAATATTTGCAGGTGCCTTAAGAACAGTTTTAGTAATGTCCTAATAGATTAACAAATGTTTGCCAGCTGCCACTTCTTGCTCCTTTACTAACTGGAGTGTTACTGCATGAATTCTGTGCAACTTTTGGTCATTAAATACTAAAATCATGACCAAAATGCACTTTTTCTGGTTGCAGAAAGATGAAATCAAATAATGCTTTTTATTATTATTCTTCCTTTTAAGTAATGACAAGCTTTGACCTATGACCAGATTAAACTTACGACACTATTAAATCTACCCTTGAATCTAATTTTCTGTTACACTTTGACTTTCCCATATATTGGACTCCAGACAAGTTTGAAAAATATCTTCCAGCTACAAAATAAAGAAATTTGTGCACATAAGTGGGCAGAAGATCACTTTGTGCAATAAGAATTAAATTTCCTATGAACTGCAAAAATACAGGGATTTTGAAAGCGCCCTTTGAACTTTCAAGATCCTGCTTGAAAGCTTGATGGATGTACTAAAGATGAACCTTTTTGCAGGAGCCTGTTAGTTTTGTCAGCAGGTATTCATTCCAAAGATGGTAACAGAAGCCATGAAAACCTTAGGCACAGCCAAATAAGTGTCCTCATTTTAGAGTAATGGCTGCTGCCCAACTAGAAAATACACAGCAGCTTAAAGCCTCATGTAATTACCTTCTATGCAGCTTTGGAAAAACTTGACTAAATAGGTTTTTAAAGCCAGAGAGAATGATTTCAGGGATTATTCAATACAAACATTGAAAGCAAGATGGAGACCTTTGATCTTTGTGGCAATTGTGCTGTGCCCACCTTGCTAGGACCAAACACCTCATACCAAAAAGTTAGCATGGCAGATTGCATTAATGTGCATGTGTATTTGTTGATGGCCCTGTATTCAGAAGTGCTTACAGCTACTGGAAGGCATTACATGCTTTTCAGAATCTTTCTTTTACACGTGTGAGGAAAAAGATGTAAGCTTATCCAGTGCAGACTACTGAAAAGCCAACACTTCAGGAGGTAGTTAGATGTAAAAGTCTCCCAAAACATCATTTAGTAAAATCATTTTTACTTAATTCCATAAATTGTGTAAACATTATTTATTCCTGTCATCTAACACAAGAGCATATTTACCTTAGAAATGGCATTTATGACTAGAAAAACTGAACTTCTGCAAAGTGGTTGTTACCCAAGAAATGATGGAGGATTTTACTTTGCACTTTTTAACTTGCAAAAAGCCCAACACAAGTGCTGCATAGTTTCTTGTATAGCAGTAACACAAGTGGAATTAGTAGCTATGTGAAGTGTAGATATTATGGTAATGGGGGGACTCAGGAGTGCTAATAACGAAGCAGTCATTGCTACTTACTGCTACATTATATAAAGTCTTAGGAGTTGATTGCAGCTACTTGAAAGGCAAGCAGTTCCTCTAAGAATCAAACCAGAGCCAGGTTGCAGTATCCTGTAGTAAGTGTTACTGAAAACAACCATTACTTATGTTTGCCTTTGAGGAGTTTCCATAAATCAGTTAAAGCCAATTCCATTTTTCTTTTCTGCCATACAAACGCACTGAAAGCTATGCACACCTGTAAAGTTCTGTTGTGTTTGTGTGTCGTTTTTTTTTTTTTTTAAAACTTCATCTGCATTTGTTTTGATTTCTGGACTATCTCTAATCCCTGACACACTTCATCTCCTCTGCAATCTTGTTCTTTTGTGCACGTCTCCCTGCCTAGCTAATTTTGACTGTGCATTTCTCAGGCAGGCCAAGCTGCAGTTGCATCCTCCCAGCTGTCACCCCTTGTCGTGGTGATAATCCCTTCTCCTGCCAGCTTCCCCCTCTTTTTCCTACTCCAAACATCTCTATTGCTCTGCTCTCCATTTCCATGGCACTAGAGCTTGCTGTCATGCAGCATAATTCTCATCATCGATCCATCCTTTTTTTCCTCAGATATCGGTAAGTTTATCTTCCCTTTGCCTGCAGAGGGCCTGCCTAGTTGAGCTGTGTGTTATTCTCAGAAGGATGAACTTGTTTGACCTCCCCCTCTCATTTTTTGGCTGAAAGAGAAACTGTTACTTGTGATGTTTTATATCTCATTCCTGTATTCCAGGCTATCCTGCATCTTCTCCTTGATTTCTTTTATCTGCTAGGTATCACACCAGAGCAGCTGTCCAAAGAAGATGAATTTTAGTAGGGCTGTTTGTGCTATGACAGTTAAGATTGCGTCAGAACAGCATTAAAAATGACATCCACCCAAAGTTTCTAGCAGCCATAAACATTTGTACTACAAATCTGTAGATTTTGCTAAGATACTGTTTTTATCTTTTTTAATCTACATGTTATTTACATAAATATTTATCAATTATGTGCAAATAAAATATATCAAAATATTATATGTGTCTAATAGAAGCAACAAAACTACAAAATAAATGCATGATAGCTACAAATTACTATTATTTCTGTGGTAGAATTTCTCTTTTACAAAAATGGACTGGAATGACAGACAGTACACTTATTTTGGGGCCTGTATTCTTCAATACCTTTGAAGATACAGTCTCTCTTTAAATTCAAAACAGAAGCTCAGCTCTGCCTAATTGTTTTTCTAGAAGAACATTCAAGACAGTGTCTGAAGGTGCTTCTGAACTGCAGCTGTGCTGGGGCACGTGCCTGCCAGGCACAACATGGGTTGCTGAAGCAAGGCACATCCAAGGGGAGAATAAAGGAACTTCCTTCAGGATGTCTCACAGTTATAATCACTCCCCTTTCCGTCAGGCTGTGACAAAATCATAATAAATTTTGTTCTGCTGTCCTCTATGAGAAGAAAAACCTTAAGTTCATTCTGCTGAAGAAGACTGTGCCCTCATTTACACAGAAGTCAATGATTTCTTCAGATGACTTCAGATTTACTGTGCCCTGAATGGAAGAAGAATTTGACCCATAATTTTTTAAAAAATAGTTATGGTTTTTTGCAGTCTTCCTCCTGGAAGACTCACTTTATTCAGCCATCAATATTCACACTTTAAAGGCTTATTTCCATCAAGTTCCATCAATGACCTTTAGAAATTGGTCTCTTCAAATAAGAAAAAAGACCTCAATTACAACAACATCTGCCTCCATCTAACACTTTATTTGCCTTAGAGAAAGGATGGAATGATGATTAAGTTAATGGATAGGTCATTTTCATTTTTCACATTTACCATGTAAGTGGCTCCATGAATCACGATTTATCTGGGGCCCAATCAAGGAATGCAGTGGCAAAACATCCATTGACTTCCACAGGCTCGTTTCCTGAACGCTTTGGAGAGGGGAAGTGGCATTATTCAACCTTTACAACCCATAGAATTAGATATTTGTGTTTTCCTAGGGGTAGAAAATGAACACTACTGTCCTCACATCCCCGTTTCTCTAAAATCTCCATTGGCTGCCTCAGCTTTTTCTCCTGGCACCCTATTACGCAGCACCACAACTTTACATATTCATTTATAAGCTCTAAGCTGACAATTTTGCAAGGATAAAACAGAATGAAATGACAGAATTTGAAACAAAGAATTTGTCTACCAAATCCTAGAATTTATTCTTTTTTTACTAGGCCAATACAGACACAGCTAATGGTGATTTGAAACATGAATGACTTACACCATGCAATGACTTTCACCTTCCAGGGTCGTCTTCTGCATGAACCTACAGAGCGACTGCCTTGCTTGTTGGTCCAGCTCCATCTGTGTCTCCGCAGACCTGCAAGGACCTTCCTTGGAGGGCTCCATTCTCTGACCTTGCTCAGCTTTGCTGTCCTCTTCTTGGACAGATGATGAACTGCAGGATCTTGTTGACACAGCGACGCAAATTTCCCTGTGTGTACACACATAGAAATGTGAGTATGTGTATATATGTGCATACACACCTAAAAAGAGATTGAAAATATAGATTAACTCAAACCCAGTAAGTTACAAAAAGGAATAGAAGGTTTTAGCAAATGAAAGTTAAAGATGTTTTCAGTGAAAAAGAAAATAGGCCACTACCAGTATGTCAAGAGGAAAATTAAGGGGCTGTATGTATGATACCATTGTGACTCATTTTCAATAGATCATGTATTAGAAACAAAAAAAGGATGAAGCAGAACTATTTGTTATATTGCTGCAACTGACACTGAATAAAAGACTGAGAGTGCACTGTAACAAATTGAACCAAGTGGGAAGCAAACACGCACAAAGCACAGCTCTCTTCAGAGAAATGTATTACAGTGAGAGGCTGTTTGGCCACTCCATTTGTTGACAAAGTTATAAAGATCAAGATCATTAGGCTGAGCAAAAGAATGGCAATATGAAAAAACAGAGATGGAGTTATTTACTTGAACTGACAAATGACGTTTATTATTCAAACATTACAACCACCGACTTGTTCAACACCAGAAGGAGCCTTGAAAAGATGTGACATGAAATGAATGCACAAGGCTGGAGAGAACAACACGATCACCATGAGGATAATAAAAGCTATCCCAGAAAGTTGTATTCTGTAGAACTTAGGGAGAAGAGATAAACAGGGATGAATGTTGTGAATTCAGTACGAGCAGCAGCTGGACTACAAGGAATGTGGTCCATTTTACCAGTGGAAAGTGCCAAAGGGAAGAAGCTGCAAAAAGTATGTGCATAAAATCACTTCTGTCATAAAGCAAAGAGAGAAACACATAAAATGAAGTACCTCCCCAATGAGCTTGCTGCCAGCTCCATGGGACTGACAGCAATAACATCCACAAACAATACAGAGGAAACATAATTTAGCTGCATATAGATGCATAATGCTTGTTCTTCTTGACTTAGAGTTCTGACTGCACACACACATGTGCACATATATGCATTTTTTCTAATAGCAGAAGGCTTCCCTGTGTCCTCTGATAGAACAGAACGCCAAAATAATTAAGCATCATTCTGGAATATATCAGCTGTAAAAAGCAACGCATCTGGAGGTGTGATAACACAAACAATCCTAAACAAAATCTCATTTCTACAGAGAATCCACCTATTTAAGCTATTTTTCCTCATCCTTCAAGGATATTGCGTTGACTGGTCTGAACATCACGTATATCAAATTTAAGCCACGTTTATGAACTCCATTCAGAAGCCAGCATTCCTCTGAGCTATTAAGCAATTAAAAGCTCCTGTCACTTTTTATGTCAAGGTTAATAATCAAATGATTAAAACAGTTTAAAGTTGGAGCTCCAGCAGTAAAAACGCAACGTTTTCATTCGTTTTATTAGATTCAAGAACAATCCTAAGTTGTTTTTGATGTGAACAACTGTGTTGAATTGTTTGCAATTAAAAGGTAGCTGCTGGAAAAGGAACATAAAGTATTTTTCATAATGCTATCAAAAAGAAGTTGTTTGATTCTTCTTTCCAGCGGGGAAATTTATCCCGCATTTCATTTAAATATATTAACAAACTTCCATCGCTTCGCTTTACCTGACTTTCTTCAGATTAGGAGTCCGAACGCGCTTCCGACATCAGAAGTGCCAAATCAGGAACGACGACACATTCGCACAGCTGCTTTGGTCCTGACAAACTCTGAAGCTGGGTACTACAAAGTCTGGAACAAAAACACACCGCTCACATAATTAGTGTTTGACTTCAAGGCGTGTCATCACGCAAGAGAGTGCTGGCTGAATAATTGCAGCAGAGGAGCACGGCTGCAGGCGATACGTATTGCAGCGCGGACCCATCCTGCTGTGAGATGCTCAGCGGGTGGGCTGCTTGGCACAGTAGGGAAGGAGCATGCAGGACAGAGCATCACAGCGGCACAGGAAGGTGACAGAAGTGAAATTTGACTTCCATTTGACTTCTATCGAGATGGAACTTCAGCAAGGAGGAGGGTTTTGTTTTTTTTCCAGACACTCGTGGCCTCAAGCACGCCTAGCGGTTATGGATAACCAATCTCATTTCTTGGAGCAGCATGGATCAGTGTCTCTCATTTTAGGCTAATGTAATGAGCATCTGGCATTTTCTGCCTTCACCCATCTCCCCCAGAGAGTAACCAGAGGAGTATTTGTAACTCAGTTAAGTAATGATCACACAGTAACGACCATTACCACTTCGCCTTGTTAAATTGCGGACTTGGGGATCCCTAATTAGTTTCCTTACTGGAACTAACAGAATTACGTGTTGATACGTGTTTGAGCATTTTGCTGGTTAGAAACTTATTTTTAAAATGATATTCAGCATCTGGAGTTAATGTCGCATGACAACTTTTTAATTCAACTCACATTTTCAGAAAATCCTAATCACCTGATACTTTCTGCAGTTGGATTTGAATCATTCAGCAACAGCTGCTTTAAGGGTAAGCTATTCTGGGGACACATGAGAAGAAAAAAAGTGGTTTCTTCTACAGTGATATGTAAAAATATACATACATGTATGTTTTTCTTTTTTTTTCTTCTTAATAGCAGTGGAAAGTTGAAATTTGCTGTAGAAACATTTTCCTGCAGGAGAAACGTGTTGGTATTCTTACAAGAAATCTTGCTTACAACTTCACTGATTCCTATTGCTATTTCTATTTTGGCACCGATTATGAAGAATTTATCAGGTTTGCAAAATGCCATGAGATGAAGGTATATCTTGTATGAATGAATTTAGCATTCACGTTACCTTTCAGATATCTGTACTCCAGTCTTTCAGTTTTAAGACCTCAATGCTGCTTGTGTAACCCCACAGTGCAGCGCTGCATGTTCCTCACACCATCAGTTGCCTCTAGGAAGCTCTGTGCTCCTCCTCTTCTAAGCTGAGCATCTGGATATTGGTTTCCGCTGTGATACAGAACCCATAGACATAGCAAACACCAAGACCTAGAACCAAGTGGCTGAGAAGTAACAGCATTTGAGACAGTGGCTTTCTTGCTTAAGGCAAATGGGTAAGTCATAAGAAAACCACTTATCTAAAACTTCTGCAGCTGAGTAGAAAGTGGAGCCAAATTATTCATGTTACTGAGTATTCAATCATCTGAGCTGCGTTTAGAGAAATCCAAATGAAAATAAAACTTGATCTAAAATGAAACGTAGGCTTTGGTACGCAGTGAACTAAAATGGGAATTAACGTGACTGGTATCTCTAATTCTCCATAGCAAAAGATGCCCCTTTGTTAATAATAAGCTGCAGTACTCTTATGTATAAGAGAAAATAATCTCCCTTAATTAAGATACAGAAAACAGGACAAAAGAAAGATAAAGCCCTTCCTCAAACTGAACTTTTAATTTCAATTTGAAGTGGAAAATGTGTGCACGGACACGGCAGTATTTGTGCAAAAATTTGCTACGAACATCCTACTTGAATTAACTTCTCCTTCCACTACTTTGTTTTTGTTGAAGATAGCAAAATAACGTTGTAAAAGTCACTCCCTTGACATACACTGTTTCTTTATAGTAAAATGCTATGATTTATTATTTTTATTTCCAGTCGCCCTGCTTTCTCTCTAGAGGAATAGCTGATTAGTCTCACTTCAGGCAGTCTCAACCAGAAAGTAACAGCCAAAACAAGCCAGGAAAAAACACTACAGGAGCTATTTTGCTCTCTCCATATTTGAAAGAGCTCTTCAGCCACTGTGCTGTTAAATTCCACTGGGTTCTGCTGGAAGAAAACAATGCTGCAGGCGAGGCGATGAGGAATTAACTTTCTTTTTTTCTGATGCGCCTCTCTACTTTGTGGAAAATATTTTTAGATGAAATCCTTGCTGTATCCTAAAATAAATCCCATACTTCAGATACATAACAGCAAATCTTATTTGCTCTCTACGGTAGAGAGAAGTCTATTTTTCAGGCTCCATGAGAAAACAGGAACTCATTTATATGGTAAGAGGAGAATTGAAAATGATGCTGTTGGAACAAGTGGACACAGTATCTTTGTCTGTATCTGACGCGTGGGTTGCTACCTATGGCAGCAAGCACAGCTCAGGAAGAGATCTCAGAGCAGACCTGTCCTGAGGACCTGCTGACCACACATATGGGAATGTTGAGTCACGGCCTGAAACAGTGATTGAGCACCAGGGGAAAAGACCCCATCAGCCCCAAGAGCACAGGTGAAGCCAGACTCCTAGACCTCGTTTAAGGGCTGACTGACACTGTGGAAGGACCTCTTTCAGGAGTTCCCTCCTTGGTAAAGCTTTCCACTGTGAACCTGGAATCTTCTGATACGGATAAGCAATCTTCTTCCCTTCCTTTATAGCACCTTTCTATTGTGCTAGTCCTTCTATCATCACACCTCTGTTATAACAACTTTCCCAGCAGATCTGTCCAATTCTACACCGTTTTCATCACCTGTGCGCTCAGTGTGCAGCTGGAACACACAGATGTGCTCATCTTCCAGTGGACACCCAGTACAGGCACTTCAAGTGCAGTGAGGGGAGATGCACAGAAGGTGAGCTTAAGGAAGGGCACTCCTGGGCTGCACAAAGCCACTAGGACAGATGCACTCCATTTAAGAGAGCAGAGTAACACTGGTTACTCCGTACTTCAGTCATCGTTCAGATATAACAGGGATGCCGTAGCAACAGAAGTAGAAATATGTCTGCTGAATTAGCATTCATTTTCAAGTAAAACAGACTTTAATTTTTGTATGGTCTAAAATAAGTGAAACTTACGTGGAAAATGTTGCAGTAGCTTTACAAGTTTCCAGTGAGGCTGGTAGAGAATTGGCTGACGCTTTGTGCAATGGGTCTGAAGCCAGTGGCACACACTGCTGGGCACCTACACCATGCACCGACACTCTGCTGCCATGGCCTTACTCCTGCATGAGGCTAAGGAAGAGAAAAAGAGTAAAGTTGTCTCCACTTCCTCAACAAAACATACTCAAGGAAGCAAATGATAGCTAAACAGAACAAAACAAACTCTTCCCCAAAACCTCAAGATAAGTAGGGATAAAATCTCCATGTCATCTTATTATAATTCACTATAATTACATTTATTATTGGCTTACTTTAATCATCTCCAGATATACTAGAATAACGCTTTTCTTTCAAATTTAACAGGACACAGAGGTTTAGATTACTTCTGTTTATGAAAGGAATTAGGCTGTGTGCTAGCAGGAGACAGGATACGCCAACCCAGGAGATCTGTTCCCACTTCTATTTCTCTTTCAGTGTTCCTGTGTTCCTACTTAGCAGGTTGGTATAATAAAAGTAGTACACATAATACGTAATACATTTTTTTCCAGATTACTTTAATAGTACCAAAAAGATAACTGGTGAGTAATCATAATAAAATATATGTAACGGGGATCGCAAATCTCACTGATGCAGAATAGGAAGAATTTATTTTCAAAGCACTGCTAATGACTTTCTGCCTGCCCCTTTGAAAATTGCTTTGAGCTCAGTGCTATCCCTTGGAAATCCAATTCATAAATCCGCAAGCAGCATGAAATTCCAGCAGGAAATAAACACTTTTATTCAAATGTATTACAGCGTGTTGATATTTTTTTCTTAAAACATAAACTGCAGCAAACATTGCTCTGAAGTACAAACAAGGAGTGACCTCACTGTATGGTTTAGGAAAGTTTCTGGGTTAAAAGCCATAGCTCAGCAGACAGTCAGCCTGCACACACATTACTGCAAAGGGATCCAGGTGATATTCTATGGTCAGCAGAATCAAAGGCAAAGCAATGCCCCCGTGAGCAGCACACACCTTCCCCACGCTGAGGAATCGATACCAGGAGCTGCAGGGATGAGCAGCATACTTCCCAGCTCACAGCCAAAAGCAGCAGTTTGCAGAGAGCAGGTGCTGCAGAGGGGTGCTTTGGCAGTGGTGCTGTGTCGTTCAGCAGCTGCTGCTAAGTGATAATTTTTTATGGGAGCCATCTCAGAACCAAGTGGCTGCTTCTCCTGGCTGCCTCTGCTCCCATTTTGCTCTGAGCGCTCCTGTTAAGCATGCTCAACAGATCTGCTCTGCCTGGAGGGCGATTGAAAGTTGCTGAAACTCTAAATATTGCATGCAGATTCATATTGGTTTTTGACTGGGCTCTGGAAATACCCATATCTCCTTGTAGATTCCATAGCTCTGCTAAATGCGTTTTTCTCAGTGCAGATGAAAAGATTTCCAGCCAGCTCTCACCCAGCACTGGCTGCCTCATACAGAGAGCTGCTCACTGCCTTTTCCTCTTCACTTACTTAAGGGAAACCAACCAACATTCTGAGAGAATCCCAAGAGGAAGTGATGGAGATATGCAGTACGTAGAAATAACAGGAAGATCAGGATTTCCTTAGTGTCCAGTAGATGTGATGGGTTTTGAGGTGCCCACGGAGCTTCTGTCCTGCAGCACAGGAGGTGCGCCACCTCTTGGGGTCTCTGCTGAGCACACATGATAAACCACTGGCACTGCTATGACTTTTCAACTTTTCTGAATAATCTTCCAAGAGCCTAACAAAGAAGGGACAACTTCATTGACTAAGGAGATGGACATACTTAGAAAGAGAGGTGGAAATAGAAAGATCTGGCTGATTTTGGATCGATGCTCAAAATCCTTTATTTATCCATAAACACTCTCCTGAAATCTCCATAGCTTTAAGATTCATCTCTTTCTTTGTGTGTTGATGTACAATAAAGGTTGTTAAAGCTTCCTACGTTTCTAAACAAGCATTTGCATAGGTGCAAAAAGGTTGTGCTCAATGACAATCCTTCTCCTAAGGACTTATGGACTGAATGGGTAATTTCCCCTTGTGTCAGGCAGTGCAGCCACCTCCTGGGCTGTTGTGGAACCCTCCTGCAGTGCAGCACTGGGACCCCAGCCCAAACAAAACCCAGCTGCACTTCTCCAGAGACAAGAGAAGCAAAACATTCAACATAAAATAATGTGAGCCTGCCAAGAACCAACCCGGTTACTCCCACATCAGTCTGATGGCAATGGATCTGTTTTTGTATTTTTCACTTTTTTTTTTTTTAATTGAAGCTTCAGGCGTTCAGCAATAAATAACAAACACTGCTGCCTTTGAAGAATAGCATTTCTTAATAACTGTGTTGTACTTCTGTGTTCTTATAGTTTGGTGTATTATTAAATATCAATTCTGGTCCCGTCATTCCAGGCTCCTTAATGTAGCTGAAGCTACCCTTCACATTCAAAAACAAGGTACAAGCATGTGATCATCTTGCTGCTTAAAATTAGACATCTGAATTCAACTTAACCATCAAAAACAAAACAAAACAAAACCATGTTCTCAGAAGTGCTGAGAATCTGCATTATGCACACACATCAATCAGACCAGATGATGCCCAGAACACATGGATATGTAGAAGCCTGTTCTATACCCAAATATACAGTTTTACTGCTAAACGTCAGAGATCCACACTTGAATATCTTCTGCAGAGAACTCTATTTCATATTCAGAAATATTTTCATTTCCTGGAATAGCTATGTTTATTACTTTAATAAACTGAATTAGGAAATACGGTTATTGGTTTCTTAACTAGGCTAAATTAAGTTTCATTAAAAAATAAAATCTAGCTTATATTTGACATAAACGCAGTTACAATGTAAAAATAGCCATATTCCTTTTCCTTTTTTATTGGAAAGTATGTAGATAAAGGAAATCCTTCCTGCATAAAAGGTAGAGCTATTCTCAGTGTTTCAAAATGGACGACAACATCATAAATAAAACTTAATTAAAAATTCAAGTACATAATATTTCTTTACTTATTATGTATATTACTTTGCTGCTTGCTGTACGGCTCAGAATAAAAATCCTTAAGATGCCTCTGCAAAGGCAGCAGGTGATGCTCCAAAGCCCTGCCCTCACCTCTGCCTGCAGAATGGAAGTTCTGTAGAGAGCTGTGGCTGCAGGAGGTGCTGCTGTCGGTGGCTGTGGGCTCTTCTCTAGATTCAGGGGATGAACACAGACATGGGCTGCAGCCAAGTAAAATGCATCAAGAAACTATATTTTATTATCTTGTCTTGCACACAGTTTACTTAATGGCCGTGCTAGAGGTATATCTCAGCTATGAATACAAACACCAGGCAATAACATTTTCTGTGCTTACTGCTTTCAGACCTGACACTGAGACAGCTATGAAGCTGGCTGTGTGTCCAGAGCAAATGCTTTGCTGGTTCCTGCTGAGGCACCTCATTGCCTCACCCCATGCAGGTCCCTCATGTTGGCCTTCCCAGCAGCATGATTCCTGCATGCTGAGCATACCTAAAGCCATGCAAACAGTGATGACACTAACCATGTGCCCAGTGGGAAGAGGTGCCTTGGCACTGTCCCCAAGAACTGCATACCTCACTGGGGTGCTCGAGCCTTACCAGTGGGACATCAGCATAGCTGTAACTATCATTCTCTCACATCCTCACAGACCAGTTCCAGCTGCACTTATCAATGAAGAGTTGCTGAAGCATGAACTGTTTCTTTTATCTGCACTTTGGTCCCAGCAACATTTTGTTTAATTGTCTGAATAAAGAAAACGGTGGGTGGACACTGCCACAAAGATAAACCCATTGATTCTCAACACTGCAATGGTTAAAAGCCTGTTCATTTTCTCAGAGGAGCCTATTCAGCATACTTCTAAAAGCCACAGCACTGCTTTGTGCTGTGGGCAGGCTATTGTGTGCTAATTTCCATTTACAAGGTTTTCAAATGACAGATTATCTCCAACAAAAATGATTGTTGAGCTGAGCTGGAAAGGTTCAGCTACTTCTGAATTTAAGGACTGATTTGGTTTATGCACATCACATGCCACAAAGATCACTGCATGCGTGTTAGGAGGAAGTTCTACAGTTTCTCCAGGTTCATAATTAACCACTGCACTTCCCACTTCTTAATTTAGGTGTTGGAGGGCTACCGTATGATGAGAAAGCATTACATCCAGTTTCTGTGACAGCTGTTGATAAAAGGAGAAGCACTACAGAAAAGCTTTGTGAAAGGTTTAGTGCGTGATTTAATGACCAAAATGATACTAAGCAGTTACCACTGGGAAGTCAGACTGTACCAAAGCACTATTTGCAAATGCTGAAGTTTTAATGAGACAACTGTTTAATCCCTTGTCTTCTTTCAGACTTTTCTATTCTGAACTCTATTAAAGTGTACAAAAAAACACAGCTTAAGATAAAGCCACCTTCATGCCGGCCAGGCAAGTCATCCTGCTGCAGGATGAGGGGGCAAGTGAGGGGCTTTCTGGTATAATGAAGTTTCAGGCATTAGGATGTAAGAAATGCATTTTCTAACAATTCTGATGACCTTCCTGTATACCCCAGTCCAGCCCAAAGCATATTCTTTCCTCTGATAATATATCAGTAGTTAAAAAAGCAATTAATATATCTGAAGCTATTAACCTGCCAAGAACGAGTAGCTTCAGAAAACACGATGTCTTATAGATCAGGGGTATGGGCTGATCCTCCTGAGCCTGAGTCTCCCATGGAGAAACAGCACTGCCCTAGGCACCAACTTGATCCACGTTCATTGCTCAGGTATGGCACGAACAGAAACGCAGTACAGTTAATCCCGAGGAAATAAAACCACACTGAAGAACAAGGAACCTTTTTCAGTTTGCTCCTTGTTGGGTTATGGTATGTTCATCCTGCACATGGATGAGGGTTGCGTTGCCCCCTGCAAGGAGTAGAAGACCAACTCCAGGATCAACCCAGCACCGTCTCCTGCCCAGCTTTAGAGCAATGCATTTTTGCCTTTTGGCTGTTACTACCACTGCTGCTGAGCCTCTTCAGTCTTCATTCTTGAAAGGATAATAATTGAAATGATCAATATTGCTGTGAGAAGCAGCAGTGAATGACTGAAAAATTACAATCTCAGGTTTTGAT